GATTAAAAACTTACAAGTAACTTACAAGTAACAGGTTAACTTCCAATGACCAAAAGATTAGCGCAGGATGGCCTAATATAATCTCTAAAATCCAGCGATTCTCGCATAAAATGTTATGATAATAATTCGTACAAAAACAAGCATGGAGAGAACCTCGGCACCAGGCCTCTCACATGAACCACAGGGAGCCCATGTCACATAAGGATACAAAGTCAATACATGTTTCTGCATGATTGGTATTGAGCAAAGAGTGAGAGGAGAGTACCTTAGCAATAGCAAACCTATACAATCAGTATTGGATCTACCAAATATCACATTCCTGCCATCCTGCTGATCACAAAGCGCTGAGAAAGGAATTGGTTATTATTATTATTCTAAGAGTGCTTGTTAAGTACTGTGAATGGTTTAAACAGTTCAAAAAACAGGTGCCAGCTCATATTGAACACGACTACACGAAAGAAATGAAGCAAAAAAATGATGTGGTAATGTATTGATTCTGCTAATATTTTTGGCAACATTCAGATACTATTCGGATGGAATATGTTGACTTAGAGATATTAAAAAAACCCTTTACATGATGAATATGGTATATTATTATAGTATATTATTATTATATTGTGAAATGAACATATTACAGGTAAATTAGCTGTGAATCAAAGAACACAAACTAGTGATTACTGATCACAACACTTAAGAAATTAAAAAAAGAAGATCAAAATGAAGATCATTTATTCAACTACTCCAAAACTGTTCTACTATTAGGCCTTATGCACCGCAATTTTCAAGATGCTGTTAAAGAAGGCGATGGAGAGCRTGTAACCAGAATGTGGAAGCACCTCATGCTTTACTTCAGAGCTTGTGGGAAAACAAAATATACCCTGGAAGCTCTTTTTCTTCAWGTACAGCTAAATGCTATTTTAACACCTCGAGAAGCTCATTGTCTTCGATCTGTTAATACGCTTGGTGGTGCTGGGAAAAATATTGCTTGTGATCTGGCAATGGAACATACAATCAAGACCACCAAGAATCTATTTCATGGTCAAGGTGCTAATTTTACTATKGAAGGTGCACAAATATCAGCAGATCTACAGATGCAGTTCAAATGGTGATAGACAACTTTGACAAGGAGGAGAATGTCAAAAAACAATCTTCTAGACACAGTTCAACTTCAACAGATGTCAATGTGATCTTAAATGAAGTTAAAAAAATACATGCGCTGGATTTTGAAATTGGCAGAGAACATAAGAGCTTTCCTGGTTTTTCAGCAGATCTTATTGCAAAAASTGACTCGGCAAAACTGCACAATTGGATAAATGATCACAAAAAATATATTTTGAATTTTTGGGAATAGCCATATTCTAATTTCAATATTTGACAGAATCAAAGTTGATACTTATAATAACCATTATTCTACAGGCACCTGACCCCAGGAAAGATCCAACTTCAGGATGTCAACCATTGGTTGACGGGAAAGGTGTAACCCCATACTGCGGTTTGGGATTATTAAATTGATTTTGTATATTGTTTGTGGTATTTCAAATTRATCTATGGTATATTACTCGTATCTTTTGCATCAAAGTAGTTAGATGTTTCTGCATTGTAAAAATTGTTATCCACACCATTATTCCAGTTCACAAAAGCTGTAAGATTTAATGATCTTTGTTTTGTGTAATGTACATGTCAGGTTAAAAAGTTTGATTTTTTTGTATACAAAATCCTTTTTGAAATGGAAAACACTTTGAAACTTAGGTCAATATGTAGTGCACACGAGGGCAACAAATTTAACCAAAAAATGTTATGTGAAGGTATTTGTATTTAAAATTATAGGTATTTATTATCAATATACATGCAAATATATTTATCAAAAGGTGCATATTAGTCCATGAGCCAAGGCCAGATTTCTTACCAATCAGGGGACAAATCCTGTTTGATACCACATTGAAGAGAGTATCAAGACGATCAAGAAAAATCATGATAGCAATCGCTAACTCACAGCTTAAGCATATATTTTTTTAATTGAAAATATTAAAAAATGACCGTAAACATGAAAACGAGGCTGACAAAATAATAACTCTCTAATTTCAGTTTTTTTAGTTATTTGCTGTAGAAAGGTAAACTACACGAAAGAAAAATCCAATATCTACACTTTTGATGTTTTTGAATTGTTAAAAAAGTAAATGGGTATTTTTTATTAGCAACTTCATTCAGATTTTCTTTCGCAATGCATTATGGGTAAACAAGATGGCGGCTCAAGGTAAGTCATTCAAGTTTCCTAGCTATTACCGATGATTTTATCCATAAAAATGTATTTTTCAAAGTATTTTAATTGTTTATTGCATTTGTGTGATATCTTTTTTTCCTATAAGTGAGCAAAAGCGTATTAAAAAGTTGTTTTCTGAAGAAAATTAGGGGAAATACTTCCAGATTTTGTAGTTGTGTATTCGTAAGTTAGAGAGGCGTAGCAAAAAGTTGTCTTAAAGAGCTGCCCTTCGTTTCAGATATTAAATCTAGGCTCTATTTGCTTTTGTTTATTGTATTTGTGTGTTATCTGTTTGTTGTACAAATAGTGAAGTTTAGTTAGGGAAAATACTTCCAGATTTTGTAGTTTATTCGTTACAAAGGCAAAGTAATCGTTTGTCACAAAAAGCTGTCCAGACATTAGTTCTAAGCCCTATTTCCTTGTTTTGATTTGTTTGGAAGTGAAAATGGAATCCATTTTGCCCTTTTTCTGCTATATGAAACAAAAACAAGCACAATACTTGCAGATGTTAAGTAAAAATATTTCAGTTATAGACCACAATAGTTTAAAGGAACCCTGAGGTGCCAGAACAAGTATAGCTTTAAATGTAGGTTTAAGCTTGTAGTCTTTGAAAATGAAATTCAAATTCCAACCAAATGCATATTTCTGTTGATATTGTCTGCTAATGCTGCGAATTTGCTTAGTCTGGGTTCCCTGTGTAATTAGCACGGATTTCATATCATGGGTTTCCTGCGGTTTTATGACGTCAGATAGTGCTGATAAGCTTAAACCTACATTTAAAGCTTTACTTGTTCTGGCACCTCAGGGTTCCTTTAAAATGAGATTTTTTTATTTGTGCTTTTAGAGCAAAACGAATTATATCAGCCCAGCTGTAAACGCAGCCGTCAAGAGAAATGTGTAATTCATTGTACCGATGATACAGGAAAGGTTGTAGCACCAAAAGATTTAGAGTCCTGGCAGGTTTTACTTAAAGCAGCTACCATACGGCAGTATGCCCCTCTACTAAACCTTCAAACAAGTTCCCATGAAATTCCAAATGATATTTACTACCATAGAAAATGCAGAAGCATATTCACTATGAAAAGAGAGCTTGAGAAGTTAACCGCGGTAAACAAAGAAGATGACGAGGAAATAGAAAACTTTCTAGAGAGAAGAGTAAGTCAGCGAAGACCATCAACTAGTGCAAGAGTATATGAGAGTATTTGCATATTTTGTGACAAAGACAGCAAATACATGAAAGGCAATGTACGTGANAAAATGTTAGGATACCAGAAAACTTGAAGACATTCCTTTCTACGTTGCTGACTGGAAAAAGTGATTGCGTAAAACTTCCAGAGAGAGTTGATCGCCTTGTAAAATCCTTTGGGCAGGACATGATTTTTGGTGCTAGTGGTGGCCGTCAAAAAACCCCCAAGCATCTCCTTCTACCCCATGCTATTAAGACACTTACAAATAATGTGGAGCTTATCAGGATTATTAATCGTTGTGGACATGGTATGTCTTATACACAGATAGAAGAAGTCAATACTGCACTATGCCTGCAAAAATTAACAGGG